AAACTCATTTGGTAAGAAACTGACTTGGCACAAACTATTCGATGTTTATATGGAAATTACTATGGGAAAACCAAACTTTTTGTTCATTGTCTTCTACCCATTTTCCATATTGCTTTTTCGAAAATTTCTATAACTAATCTTACGGAAAATTTTCTAAGCTACAACTTTGCGGAATACCGTTTTTCAGCCAAATGTCAAATTAAATTGTTATTAATTGTTTAAGAGATTGATAATATTATGGCATGATCAAGCAGCTGTTCTGGGGGCAACACTGTATTCTGCAGTGTGACATAGTAGCCATGATATTTGTGCTCTATTCTTCGCACCAGAAACACCAATGTTGCCTGCTGAACGGTTGAATGAGCATAATCATAAGACACCAGCGACTTGAATCATTAATAACTTTTGTTCGTTGCATTTGATTGAAAAGTGGTTTTGAACAAAGTTGTAGCTGAGAAAATTTGCTACAATTACTGTTATAATTTTTAAAAGCATATTGATGTGGTGAATTGTTAGATAGATGTGAACAAAAACATAAGTTTTCCCATAGTAACTCCCATATAAACTTGAAATGGTTTGTGCCAAGTCAGTTTCTTACTAAAGTAGTTCAAATTTTGGGAGGCTAAGCTGGACCCAAATTTCAAATTTTGCATCACTCTAATGGATAACTGTTTTTCTTGCAGAAATTTACGCTATCTTAGAGTGTACATATATTTGTCGAAAAATGAATTATCGACACACACGAATCTGCATATTTTCAGACAGCCAGGCAGCATTGAATGCACTACAATTTTTAACATGCCAATCAAAACTGGTGTGGGAATGCATAATACTTCTGGAGCAACTGGCAGTCAAAAACCAGGTTGATTTGTACTGGGTACCAGACCATTGCGGAATCAAAGGAAACGAACAAGCCGATTTACTCGCTAGACAAGGCGTGTAAATCGGCTAAATCTGTGCCCAATTTATAGGACCAGAACCTTTATAGGGGGTATCTAAATGTGTAATACACATGGAAATGAAAAAGTGGGAAGACAATATGATACAGTCAAATTGGGCTGCTAGGAATACTTCAAGGCAATCCAAATTGTTTATTACTCCAAACAAAGGAATCGCTAAACATACTTATTGGGCTACTTACGGGACACTGTCCCGTTAGATATCATTTGAAAAAGATAAATCGAAGTCAAACATGTAGGAACCGAGACGAATAGACGAACGAAAACAAACTTTGATGACGGTAAGCTCCACCTCAGATTAGCTTTTGATCCCGTCCTTGTTTGGATGATCTGCAACATGTTTGCTTAGAGGCGTGTTGATTAACTCTGAAGTCGACATTAAAACAATCGGACATTTTGATCAGGACTTAATCCGAGGATAATACCGGTTGGAGCTACCACCATGACATTATTCACATGTTGTCATACATTGTTTAGAGATGTGAACAGATATGATTGAAACACTACAACGTTTGTTTTATAGGCTTTACTGTTATGTGAACATACAAAGCTATAGTCAAATGTGAATAAAATGAGTAACACGAATTAACAAAAATAAATTAAAGATTATGCTTACATTTTGGTTGTATACGTAGTTACAACAATCTGAATGTGAAATTCATAATAAGATAATCGAATTATACATTCGGATTAGCAGTTCTAATTGATTATAAATTATTTAGTTTATTTATGTGAAAGGTAAATACAAATTATTTGTTGACGTTAATGATGTTACTATTACAGAAGAGGAAATAAATAATTCAGTAAGTATAATAATATTTTATGTTCAGTGTGCTTATGAACGCACACTACTGGAAGTTTTAAAACAGTTATTGGACTTGCATCAAAACATCGAAACGCAAACTCTGACCGGATGCCGAGTTGGCTAAGGGGGAGTATACTTTGGTTTTTCAAAAAAATGCATTTTTTTTGGCTTAAAATGTTCCTTGGGATGTAAACTTTAATTGAGAAAATACTCCAAGTCCGCCAGAATATTCCTTAACGCTTTACGAAGCGATTTCCTAGAGCATGTACCGGTGCGCTGAGAGAGCATTTTTATCTTTAAACGCGTTTATCTCGAAACAGGGTTTTTCAAACTGGCGTGGAAAATAACTCTAACCAGTTATCATCGAATTTGGATTTCGCCTAGGTTTTCTTGTTCAGAATTAAATTCTGCTTAGAAATACGTATCCACATTTTCGATTTTGTCAAAACTGGATTTTTAATCCACGATTTTGTAAGCATTTTTAGGGTAAAAAATGAACTTTTGTTTCCTAAGGCCACAACTTTTACAAAAATTAATTTAAAAAAAAATCGGAATACGTATTTCTAACCCAAATTTCATTACTAATCAGGATTTTTGTTCGATTTATGTTCCAGGATCACATGGAAAGGAGTATTTTCCCACGCCGTTTTCCGACTTCCGCGCGACCTGGTGCACCGACCACGGGGAGACGCCAATCGAGTTTAAAAAAATACAAATTGTAGTTCGAAGGATGACTAATAAATGGGTTATAACATATTTGCCCTCCCTGAGTGTTTTATTGCTTAAAAAAATTAACGAAAATGCCTTACTTTTTGGACGTTCAAAGTGTACTACCCCTTTAAAGGTGTGCAAGAGGGGAAATTGAAAAGAACAAGAAAGCAGCTTGAGCATGTCATTCTGTAAATGATCGCTGTGAAGTAAAGTCGTGGTTTTGAGAAGAAGAAAAAAAAATTGAAAATACGACAAAACAGTCTGTAGGTTTTGTGACTGTGTGACAGAGACCTCTCAACATTTGCTCTGCGAATGTTCGGCACTATTCGTGCGCAGAAGACAATATTTCAACAAAAGCATACTAAGTCCTTCTGAGATTTGGTTAAAGGGTGTCCACGATGAAATTGCCACACTATGAAGTTGCTCTAACTTTTTAACCGTTGGGTAGAATTTAATGAAAATTTGGGTGGATTTAGTTCATAGTGCATTATTTACATCCTCCAGAGTGTTGAAGCGGTTCCAGGAGCGGTTGACGTTGGACCACGGCAAAGGAGCTGGAAGAAAACCGGGACCGGAGAACAAAAAGACGGAGGGAAAGGTGAAGCGGATGATTAAAGCAAATCCCAACGTCTCAAGCCGTGATTTGGCTAAAAATATCGGCATGTCGCAGAGATACGTCCAGAATGCAAAGAAGAGAGCTGGACTACATACATACAAGGTACAGAACTTCCCAAACCGCGATGAGCGGCAACAATCGACGGCTAAAACTCAGGCACGGAAGCTCTACGAGAAGATGCTAACAAAATATGGCTGCTGTGTGATGGACGACGAAACGTATATAAAAGCCGATTTTAAGCAAATTCCGGGGTTGGAGTTTTTCACCGGCAAGAGCCTCCAAATATCTCATTTGGCAGGCCATCTGCTCTTGCGGACTGAGGAGTGAGCCTTTCGTGACAAAGGGCACAGTAAATGGCGAGATCTACAAATCTGAGTGCCTCGAGAAGCGCCTTTTGCCGTTCTTGCAGCAGCACGACGAAGCTCCGCTATGCCACTATTCTAAAAGTGTCCTGGAGTGGTATGAGGCCAATTCTGTCCATTTTGTTCCAAAGGACATGAATCCGCCAAACTGTCCGGAGCTGCGCCCGGTGGAGCAGTACTAGGCAATACTGAAGCGGGAACTTCGGAAGAGCAAGAAGACAGTCAAAGACGAGAAGGACATGTTAAGAAAATGGAAAAAAAAACTAAGAAACTGGTACCGGATGACACTGTAAAGACTTTGATGGAGGACATCAAGCGAAAATGCGTTCAATTTTACACTCAAGGCTCCATCGATTAACTTTTCTTTTGATTTTTGAAGTAAATATATGTATAAAACTACCCTAAAATTTTGGTTTGATTCTAAACATTATAAGAAAATTGGCAAGACATTTTCGGCGTCGCAATAATTTCGTGTTCGCCCTTTATGTACATACTGGAGAAAAACTATGGTGTAGAGTTTAAGTAACAAATTCATCATGTATAAAAGGTTTCGAAGAATAAAGAATCGGGGCAGTTGTTCTGATGAGTTATTATTCGAGGTTTGCTAGGTGCGGACGAGCACAGTTCCAACCTCAGGATAACTGATTCATCAAAGAGCTTTTTCCATACAGTCGAAATGGAATTGCACTGTCTTTCATTTTATGAAAAAAGAAAGACCACGCGAGTTGTTGCTCTACGTTGGGCGCTTCAACACGGGAGTGAAACATGGATGCGCAACGGAGTATGGGCGCTTCACATACATCTACATCGCTTCCAGTGGTTTCATTGAATGGCCGTATCTCCGGAATTGTATGACCAATTTTGAAACTATTCCGTAGCGATCTATGTAATCATAATCCCGAGCAAAATTCTATGACCCGGTCATCACTTTTTGATAATGTCCTGCAAAATACCTCAGCGGTGAAACCTGCCTAAACATATTCAAGGAGTTACTGCGCATCGTTCTTGATCTATTTGGATGTATATAAGAAGCTCAAGTGACGTTCTAGGTCATCCAAAGCATTCTGTAGTTTAAAACATTTGACAACCAAGGCCTGCACAATGTCCTCAGCGTCGAAACTTGCTCAAACATGTTCAAAGAGGTTCTGTACATCGCTCATGATCAGTTTGATGTATATATGATGCTCAAGGTTCACCAAATTGTCCTTGATCTCAGATCAAATAATGTACCAGGTCAGTCATAACCGGTACAAGGCCCTTACTGCCGTGAGATGACAAAGTGACGTAAACGCCACCATGGTCAATTTTCACTTTTCTTCATATTCATAATCTATACCCTAAGATACACCAGAAAACACTTTCTTCGTGATAAAAATGTTTTTGGAAGCCTGGAGACAAAGTGACGGTACCATACATTTTCGGAGAAGGAGTAATATGTTTTCACTGTTTCTACGGATAAGTGACGTCCACCATATAAGAACAAAGTGGGTCAGACAAAACAAGAACGATTTACGAGGTCTAAAGATTCGTCGGTGAAATTCAAGCCAATGCAGGATAATGCGTGCTACAACTGTGGTCGTGTAGGTCATGTGGCCGCGTCGCAAGCGTGCCCAGCTCGTGGCAAACAGTGTAGAAATTGTCAGATTTATGGACACTTTGAACGACTGTGCCGCAAACAGAAGCAACGACCACTTCCGGATCAAGGTGGCAAGCAGATTCGAGCGGTACAGAATGAGCAACCAACTTGTGAGGACAGTAGTAATGTCAAGGAGGAGATTGGACAGGACAAAGTATACTATGCTTTCTACTCGGGCAACGAAAGCAACGTTGTGACGTGCGACATCGGTGGCGTTGAATTGGAAATGCTGGTAGACTCCGGTGCTGACGCCAATCTTATCAGCAAAGCGTCTTGGTCCAAACTAAAGGATAAACGGGTATTGTTGCAGTCATCCACGAAAGGAAGTACCAGGATCCTAAAGGCTTATGGAAGTAATGATCCGTTGAAGATTTTGGGTTCTTTTGTTGCTGACATAGAGGTGGGAAAAAGCCGAACTCAGGCGGAATTTCTGGTGGTCGAAGGTGGCCAGCGTTGTCTGCTAGGCGACACTACTGCCAAACAACTGGGCATTCTGAAAGTTGGGTTGAATATCAACAAAGTCAACGATTTGTCATCACCGTTTTCGACGATCAAGGGCGTAGAAGCATTCATTCACGTTGACCCCAACTTTGCACCTGTTTTTCAACCCATGCGCCGACTGCCTTTGCCTCTGGAAGCAGCTGTCAACTTAAAGTTGGACGAGTTACTTCAGCGTGACATTATTGAGCCGAAAACAGGGCCGACAAGCTGGGTATCGCCGCTAGTTGTGGTAGGGAAGACAAACGGTGAAGTACGATTATGCCTTGGCCTTCGTCGTGTAAACGAAGCGGTCTTAAGAGAGCATCATCCTATGCCGGTGGTGGATGACCACATTGCGCGACTTGGTAGAGGTACGGTCTGGAGCAAGCTTGACATCAAAGAGGCCTTCTTGCAAATCAAACTCGATGATGAATCCAAAGATGTTACCACCTTCATCACAGGACGAGGATTGTTCCGGTTCAAACGGTTGCCATTTGGGTTGGTGACGGCTCCGGAGCTCTTCCAAAAAGCGATGGATGAGATTTTGTCAGGATGCGAGGGAGTAGCTTGGTACCTCGACGACGTCATCATCGAAGGCAAAGATATGGAAGAACATGATGTTCGCCTAAATGAGGTAATGTAACAAGTTTTGTTTTGATAATAAAAGTAAATGAAATAACATCGAATTTGTGTTATTTTATTTTGTATGTGATGATTCCTTGCTAGATAAATGTACTGTTTCAGGTGTTGTCCCGTTTCAAAAGTGGCAATGTCGCCCTCAATTGGGAAAAATGTCAGTTTAGAGTAACCGAGTTAGAGTATCTTGGACACAGAATCAGCGATAAAGGGATCAGGCCATCGGATTCGAAGATACGAGCTTTGCTATCATTCCGGGAGCCTAAAAATGAACAGGAGCTCCGCAGTTTCCTTGGGTTGGCGAACTACATGAACAAGTTCATACCTAATTTGGCAACCACAGATCAACCGCTACGGAAGTTGTTAGCAAAGGACGTCAAATTTGAATGGTCAAAGGAACAGGATGACTCTTTTAATGAGATAAAAGCGGTTTTAAGCAATGCTCAAAATTTGGGATTCTATAGATTAGAAGACCGAACTGCCGTTATTGCGGATGCAAGTCCGCATGGGCTTGGGGCATTGCTGGTTCAGTTCAACAAGGATAACGAACATCGTGTGGTCAGTTTTGCCTCCAAATCGCTGACCGAAACGGAGCGTAGATACTGCCAGACGGAGAAAGAGGCGCTGGCTATCGTCTGGGCAGTAGAGCGTTTTCAGTTTTATTTGCTAGGGAGAAGTTTTGATATCATGACTGATTGCAAAGCGCTATCGTTTTTGTTTGCAAAACGTTCCAGGCCCTGCGCGCGAATCGAACGCTGGGTTTTGAGGCTGCAAACGTTTGACTACAGAGTTATACATATCGCTGGTAAGGAAAATGTGGCTGATTCTCTTTCCCGCCTAGCTGTACTAGAACCCAGACTATTTGACGCGACCGAAGAGATAGTGGTTCAAGAAATAACGATATCTGCTCTTTCTTCGACAGCGCTCACGTGGAATGATATCAAAGAAGCTTCACAATCAGACTCTGAAATCAAGAACATATTAGAACAGCTGTTCAACGGTACGCAAGATAACCTGCCAATTGAATATCGGGTGCTGACAAATGAGCTGTGTCAGTTTGAAGATGTTTTGCTTAGAGGAGATCGTATTGTAGTGCCAAAATCCCTTAGGAATAGGGTTTTGTCTTCTGCTCATGATGGTCACCCTGGAATATCGATGATGAAGAACCATTTGAGGTTAAATGTGTGGTGGCCGAAAATGGATTCCGATGTGGAGAAATACGTAAAAAGCTGCAGAGGTTGCACGCTTGTGGCAGCCCCAGATCCACCAGAAGCAATGACCCGTAGCCAGCTTCCGTCTTATCCATGGCATACTTTGGCCGTTGATTTCCTTGGTCCATTACCGGAGGGACAAAGTTTGTTTGTGGTCATCGATTATTACTCTCGGTTCATTGAAGTTTGCGAAATGCAATCCACTACTTCAAGCGATGTAATTAGAGAGTTGGCTATTATGTTCGGTAGGTATGGAGTTCCTTCGGTCATTAAGGCAGATAATGCTCCTCAGTTTAGTGCTGATTGTGCGGAAATAAAAGAGTTCTGTGCATCAACAGGATTAAAATTTTTGAATACCATCCCTTATTGGCCACAATCCAACGGAGAAGTGGAACGCCAGAACAGATCCATTCTAAAACGTCTTCGCATTGCCCAGGAGTTGGGTTTGGACTGGAGGGAAGAACTACGTGATTATTTATTGACGTATCATTCGACAAATCATCCCTCAAAAGGAAAGTCACCCGGGGAATTGATGTTTGGAAGACGTATCAGGAGCAAAGTTCCATCAATCATGATATTCCACGAGGATAGTTCGGTCCGAGAACGAGACGCCATTGTCAAACAAAAGGGGAAAGAGTATTCAGACAAAAAGAGAAATGCCAAGCATTCTGAAATAAAAGAGGGTGATATTGTATTGGCTAAACGAATGCGAAAGGGTAACAAGTTGGATACGAATTTCAGTAATGAGGAGTTCATAGTTCAGAGCAAAGTTGGGACTGATACAATCATCAAATCAGCAAAATCCGGTAAGGAATACAGACGCAGTTCAGCTCACTTGAAGAAGTTGTTGGAGCGAGTTGAGAGAAATGATCTTGGGTATTCTCCAAATGGGATCGCTTCTAAAACAGTCGCCCCACAGACTCAGGTTGATGATTCCGAGGGTGATTCTAAATCTGCAGGAGTACCTATTAAAAAGATTAGGAAAGCTCCAAGCAAATATGAGGATTATATCTCACACTGAAGGGATAAAGCTGTTTGTAAACGGATAAAACAATAAATGAAGACATTGGTAATCTACAATGCATTTTTATTCCAAGGGGGGGATTGTAGTATATTAGTCACACCTTTACCAAAAAACCTTTGTGTCTAAGAAAATAGGACTACCTTTGGGTTAAGCTACCTTGGCCTTGATAAGGGTGTGGTAGTGAAAGAGGTAGTGAAAGCATAGACGAGAACGGGCAGAGAGAGAGATAGAGAGGGCATTCAAGTAACGACCAGCTAGCGAGGAGGCCGCGATACTACAACCCCCCTCCCCCTGCGTAGACAAATTCGACAGTGAGCATGCATAAGGGCGAATACGCGATGATCGATTCTCTTCATCGATTTTCTCTTTGAATTGCTACAGCTAAGCGAAACAATTTTCTAGAATTTGTTCAATGCAGCGTAGTAACAGGATGTATTGGCTATCAAAAGCAACAGCAAACGCACCGAGAAACGTTAAATCTAGCAAGTTATTAACAAAAGAGAAAATCGACGAAGAGAATCGATCATCGCGTATAGGCCCTTATGCATGCTCACTGTCGAATTGTCCTTACAATTTGTTTAAAAATTGTATGGGCCGTGGACATTCGTCCCCCCCTTAACTGTCTACGTAGTTTATGAACAGCCCCTAGGTATGAATTTTTAAAGCTGAGTCAAATTTATTGGTAGGTATTTGTTCAATATATTTGAAATGATGCAGAGTAGTTTCTTCGGCAAAGTTTCAAGTTTTGTTGAAGTACATCAATAAAAATGAAGTAATGAAATTGGGTTGTTAGCGGAATGCTAAATAAAACAGCAAAAAAGGTTATCTTCCATTTGATTCCACTTAATTAATTTTGGTATCCATGACATATACGTATTTCGACTACAATGTGCAGTCTTCATGAGTGTCATTTCCACTAAGAACTTATCAAAATCTTTAGTGGGAACGACACTGATGAAGACTGTACATTGTAGTCGAAATACGTATCTGTCATGGATACCAAAATTAATTAAGTGGAATTAAATGGAAGATAACCTTTTTTTGCTGTGTTATCAATAAAAAGTATAAACACTAATTCTTTTGAGGAGAAAAAACAAAGTTAAGTGTAAAAACTGTTTTTCAAGACTCATAATCTGAAAAACTAAATATCTTGAAAACTAAGGCAGCTTCAATTTTGACGTTTTGGTAAGAGTTTCATATTTTAGACTAATAAACAACTTTGTCGAAGACGCCAAATCTCCCGAAAGAATGATTAAAAAGTATCATTTCGAATAGAAATTTAGTACAAGTTTAGTACAATTCTATGTCGGCCAAAAGATATAGCTTTTAATTAAAAAATCAATGCCAAAGACACAAAGTCACTAAAATGACTCGTTTTGGAGTGATTCATTTTATTCCACTAGATTGCATTCCAGGACCACTGTGCGTAGTTATCCAATCCCACTACAGAAAATCCACTATTTCCAGCAAGGGGCTGCTAAGCCAGCATTTTTCGGTTGGCTGCTATTTTTCACTCACGCACTTACAACCAACGCCAAAAAAAACACAAGCGGTGTAAGCGACAGCTGTAAAATATGCAATACAGCCTCAAAGTTTGTATGTGTTGTTCAAGTTTGTTATGGGCCATACATTTATAGATAAGTTAAGAAGGTGTACTGTCAAATTTGTGAAATCCCATAGTGGAAACGTTTGGTTTCAGTCCCGTGATTTCCAGTGATGTCCTTCCATTGTTTGAACTCTTCCTTCATTACACCTCCCGGAATATGTCAACCAGTTTCTGGCGCATTCAATTTAACGAGAACGAGAATCAAATTGAACAACTCATAAACTGCCTCCAGCCAGAAGCTGTTGTCAGCAATCGAATCACTTTCTCAGAAAATTCCTCCTTTTCCAACACCACCTCCTCAACTAGTCACGACCTCGCAAGCCTCTATTATTATCACCCGATTCCGGTAGTAGACATCATTGATACACAATTTACGACTACAAGACAGCACCGCCTAGCACGGCACGGCGGCAGTGACATCCGATCCCATCCCGTGTTCATGTTTCCAGTTCATTGCCCAAGGGTTCGTCCGGATCGACAAAACTTTCCGGATTGAATTCCATCCGATCCCTCCTGCGGGTGTTTCCTAGCCGAAAGTGCACGAGCGCCCGCTCGCCAAAGTTCTCTGCCGCCAATCGGCGGCCTGGGACGAATATTGGAAAATTTAAATCCAAATTCCTCCGCACTTGCCATCCACGTCTATTGTCGTCCCCGATGCCATCAGCGGCTTTGATTTAAATAGATTAGAAAAGTTTTGCTCACCTTCTTGGTCCTACAGTCCGGGACGAAGGCTGCTCTTCCATCGTTCTGTTTTTAGAAAGGGTTGGACAGTATAGGGTTTGAGAACTACTTCCGCCTAATCTCCCATTTTGGGCCGTTATCTTAGTCCGATAGGCCGAATTGTGTTAGGCCTTGTTTGGGGTAAAAAAACAGTGTTAGATGTTTAACAATTTTTCTACAATGCCATCAAAGTTAAATAAATTTGGATAGTATATGCAGTGAAAACATTCCATAATAGAGGCAAAGGGCGGATTGTGCTTAGTAGGCCCAACATTAGATCAAAGCCCTATAGACTCAATAGATGGATTGCCTCCATGAGTGGGTGAATTGTCGTGGGAAAGCTTTTTTTTCAGAAACATTTCAAGTCCGGAGGTGTACACAGACAGTGATGAAGATGTAAACAGAGTAATTCTATATTCTATACTGTTTGCTTGTATACTCGCAGA